CCGCTTCCTTGCAGACGGCGGCGAGGTCGGCTCCGGTGTACCCGTGCGCGGCGTGGGCCAGTTCCCGCAGCTCGTCGTCAGCGACACACACACACGGCATCGGGAGCAGCAGCTTCTGCAGGATCTCCATCCGCCCGCCGGCGTCGGGAACGCCGATCTCCAGCTCACAGTCGAAGCGTCCAGGCCGGCGCAACGCCGAGTCCACAGCCTGAGGGCGGTTAGTGGCTCCCAGAACCAGCAGCTGCGAACCCGCCTGTCACACACACACACACACCACTGAGACCCGCCTGTCACACACACACACACACACCGCTGAGACCCGCCTGTCACACACACACACACACACCGCTGAGACCCGCCTGTCACACACACACACACACACACCGCTGAGACCCGCCTGTCACACACACACACACACACACCGCTGAGACCCGCCTGTCACACACACACATTCATCCGCCAATGCTTTCATTATTAACGACATTAATGTTTCGAGTCTGCTGAACTTCTTCTGAATTATTTCAAACAATGTTATTCTAATTTTTGAATAATTATTATTATTGCACTTTCCGTTTATGAGCTCATATTGAGACTACATGAGATCTGTGCACAGACTCTGGACTCACTGATGCGATGCCGTCCATCAGCGTGAGGAGAGTCGCCACGACACGCTTCTCCACCTCGTTCTGGGACCCTTCTCTCTTAGGACACAGAGCATCTAACTCATCGATGAAGATGATGGAGGGCTGCCTGTGAACACACACACACACACACACACAGAGACACACACAGACACAGAGAGAGAGAGAGACACACACACAGACACACACACACACACAGACACAGAGAGAGAGAGAGACACACGCACACACACACACACAAACAGAGAGAGAGACACACACACAGACACACACACCCACACACATAGACACACACACATAGAGACACACACACAGTCACACACACAGACACACAGAGAGAGACACACACAGACACACACACACACATAGACACACACACACATAGAGACACACACACACAGAGAGAGAGACACACACACACAGACACACAGAGAGAGACACACACAGACACACACAGACACAGACACACACACACACATAGAGACACACACACAGAAACACTCTCAGTGACTTTGGTTCATTCATAACAGACGTCAGTTGCATTAGCTGTGTGTCTGTGTGTGTGTGTGTGTTACCTCTGTGAAGCCTGTGTGAAGATCTCCCTCAGTCTGGCTTCAGTCTCTCCATAAAACCTGTAGAGAGAGAGAGACATGATTATCTGAATACACACACACACACACGTACACAACGAAAACCAAAACCACTCAACCACAGGAGAATGTGGCATTAAAATCAACGTAATCATGTTTTTAAATGTAACACACATCCGTTTTGTGAGAATGTATGTGTTGTGATGATCAGTTTCTCTCACACACTTGCTCATGATCTCGGGCCCGTTGATCACGCTCATGTGAGCTCCCACCTCATTGGCTACTGCTCGTCCAATCAGAGTCTTCCCTGTGCCGGGCGGCCCGTAGAGAAGCACACCGCGAGGAGGCGGGATTCCTGTCAGAAACACACACACGTCACATGACCACACGACCGTCACATGACAACACGACCGTCACATGACCACCTGACAGAAACACACGCTCACGTCACATGACCACACGACAGAAACACACGCTCACACGCTCACGTCACATGACCACCTGACAGAAACACACGCTCACACGCTCACATCACATGACCACCTGACAGAAACACAAGCTCACGTCACATGACCACACGACAGAAACACACGCTCACGTCACATGACCACACGACAGAAACACACGCTCACGTCACATGACCACACGACAGAAACACACGCTCACGTCACATGACCACACGACTGAAACACACGCCCACGTCACATGACCACACGACAGAAACACACGCTCACGTCACATGACCACACGACAGAAACACACGCTGACGTCACATGACCACACGACAGAAACACACGCTCACACGCTCACATCACATGACCACCTGACAGAAACACATGCTCACGTCACATGACCACACGACAGAAACACACGCTCACGTCACATGACCACACGACCGTCACATGACAACACGACCGTCACATGACCACCTGACAGAAACACACGCTCACGTCACATGACCACACGACTGAAACACACGCTCACGTCACATGACCACACGACAGAAACACACGCTCACGTCACATGACCACACGACAGAAACACACGCTGACGTCACATGACCACACGACAGAAACACACGCTCACGTCACATGACCACACGACAGAAACACACGCTCACATCACATGACTACACGACAGAAACAAACGCTCACATCACATGACCACACGACAGAAACACACGCTCACATCACATGACTACACGACAGAAACACACGCTCACATCACATGACCACACGACAGAAACACACGCTCACGTCACATGACCACACGACAGAAACACACGCTCACGTCACATGACCACACGACAGAAACACACGCTCACGTCACATGACCACACGACAGAAACACACGCTCACATCACATGACCACACGGCAGAAACACACGCTGACGTCACATGACCACACGACAGAAACACACGCTCACATCACATGACCACACGACAGAAACACACGCTCACGTCACATGACCACACGACAGAAACACACGCTCACGTCACATGACCACACGACAGAAACACACGCTCACGTCACATGACCACACGACAGAAACACACGCTCACGTCACATGACCACACACGCTCACGTCACATGACCACACGACAGAAACACACGCTCACGTCACATGACCACACGACAGAAACACACGCTCACGTCACATGACCACACGACAGAAACACACGCTGACGTCACATGACCACACGACAGAAACACACGCTCACGTCACATGACCACACGACAGAAACACACGCTCACGTCACATGACCACACGAAAGAAACACACGCTCACGTCACATGACCACACGACAGAAACACACGCTCACACGCTCACATCACATGACCACACGACAGAAACACACGCTCACACGCTCACATCACATGACCACCTGACAGAAACACACGCTCACGTCATATGACCACACGACAGAAACACACGCTCACGTCACATGACCACACGACCGTCACATGACAACACGACCGTCACATGACCACCTGACAGAAACACACGCTCACGTCACATGACCACACGACTGAAACACACGCTCACGTCACATGACCACACGACAGAAACACACGCTCACATCACATGACCACACGACAGAAACACACGCTGACGTCACATGACCACACGACAGAAACACACGCTCACGTCACATGACCACACGACAGAAACACACGCTCACGTCACATGACCACACGACAGAAACACACGCTCACACGCTCACATCACATGACCACACGACAGAAACACACGCTCACATCACATGACCACCTGACAGAAACACACGCTCACGTCATATGACCACACGACAGAAACACACGCTCACGTCACATGACCACACGACCGTCACATGACAACACGACCGTCACATGACCACCTGACAGAAACACACGCTCACGTCACATGACCACACGACTGAAACACACGCTCACGTCACATGACCACACGACAGAAACACACGCTCACGTCACATGACCACACGACAGAAACACACGCTCACGTCACATGACCACACGACAGAAACACACGCTCACGTCACATGACCACACGACAGAAACACACGCTCACGTCACATGACCACACGACAGAAACACACGCTCACGTCACATGACCACACGACAGAAACACACGCTCACGTCACATGACCACACGACAGAAACACACGCTCACGTCACATGACCACACGACAGAAACACACGCTCAAGTCACATGACCACACGACAGAAACACACGCTCACGTCACATGACCACACGACAGAAACACACGCTCACGTCACATGACCACACGACAGAAACACACGCTCACGTCACATGACCACACGACAGAAACACACGCTCACGTCACATGACCACACGACAGAAACACACGCTCACGTCACATGACTACACGACAGAAACACACGCTCACGTCACATGACCACACGACAGAAACACACGATTACATCACATGACCACACGACAGAAACACACGCTCACATCACATGACCACACGACAGAAACACACGCTGACGTCACATGACCACACGACAGAAACACACGGTCACGTCACATGACCACACGACAGAAACACACGCTCACGTCACATGACCACACGACAGAAACACACGGTCACGTCACATGACCACACGACAGAAACACACGCTCACATCACATGACCACACGACAGAAACACACGCTCACGTCACATGACCACACGACAGAAACACACGCTCACATCACATGACCACACGACAGAAACACACGCTCACGTCACATGACCACACGACAGAAACACACGCTCACATCACATGACCACACGACAGAAACACACGCTCACGTCACATGACCACACGACAGAAACACACGCTGACGTCACATGACCACAGGACAGAAACACACGCTCACGTCACATGACCACACGACAGAAACACACGCTCACGTCACATGACCACACGACAGAAACACACGCTCACGTCACATGACCACACGACAGAAACACACGCTCACGTCACATGACCACACGACTGAAACACACGCTCACGTCACATGACCACACGACAGAAACACACGCTCACGTCACATGACCACACGACAGAAACACACGCTGACGTCACATGACCACACGACTGAAACACACGCTCACGTCACATGACCACACGACAGAAACACACGCTCACGTCACATGACCACACGACAGAAACACACGCTCACGTCACATGACCACACGACAGAAACACACGCTCACATCACATGACCACACGACAGAAACACACGCTGACGTCACATGACCACACGACAGAAACACACGGTTACGTCACATGACCACACGACAGAAACACACGCTCACGTCACATGACCACACGACAGAAACACACGCTCACGTCACATGACCACACGACAGAAACACACGCTCACGTCACATGACCACACGACAGAAACACACGCTCACGTCACATGACCACACGACAGAAACACACGCTCACGTCACATGACCACACGACAGAAACACACGCTCACGTCACATGACCACACGACAGAAACACACGCTCACACGCTCACGTCACATGACCACACGACAGAAACACACGCTGACGTCACATGACCACACGACAGAAACACACGCTCACATCACATGACCACACGACAGAAACACACGCTCACACGCTCACGTCACATGACCACACGACAGAAACACACGCTGACGTCACATGACCACACGACAGAAACACACGCTCACGTCACATGACCACACGACAGAAACACACGCTCACGTCACATGACCACACGACAGAAACACACGCTCACGTCACATGACCACACGACAGAAACACACGCTCACGTCACATGACCACACGACAGAAACACACGCTCACGTCACATGACCACACGACAGAAACACACGCTGACGTCACATGACCACACGACAGAAACACACGATTACATCACATGACCACACGACAGAAACACACGCTCACATCACATGACCACACGACAGAAACACACGCTGACGTCACATGACCACACGACAGAAACACACGGTCACGTCACATGACCACACGACAGAAACACACGCTCACATCACATGACCACACGACAGAAACACACGCTCACGTCACATGACCACACGACAGAAACACACGGTCACGTCACATGACCACACGACAGAAACACACGCTCACATCACATGACCACACGACAGAAACACACGCTCACGTCACATGACCACACGACAGAAACACACACTCACGTCACATGACCACACGACAGAAACACACGCTCACATCACATGACCACACGACAGAAACACACGCTCACGTCACATGACCACACGACAGAAACACACGCTCACATCACATGACCACACGACAGAAACACACGCTCACGTCACATGACCACACGACAGAAACACACGCTGACGTCACATGACCACAGGACAGAAACACACGCTGACGTCACATGACCACAGGACAGAAACACACGCTCACGTCACATGACCACACGACAGAAACACACGCTCACGTCACATGACCACACGACAGAAACACACGCTCACGTCACATGACCACACGACTGAAACACACGCTCACGTCACATGACCACACGACAGAAACACACGCTCACGTCACATGACCACACGACAGAAACACACGCTGACGTCACATGACCACACGACTGAAACACACGCTCACGTCACATGACCACACGACAGAAACACACGCTCACGTCACATGACCACACGACAGAAACACACGCTCACGTCACATGACCACACGACAGAAACACACGCTCACATCACATGACCACACGACAGAAACACACGCTGACGTCACATGACCACACGACAGAAACACACGGTTACGTCACATGACCACACGACAGAAACACACGCTCACGTCACATGACCACACGACAGAAACACACGCTCACGTCACATGACCACACGACAGAAACACACGCTCACGTCACATGACCACACGACAGAAACACACGCTCACGTCACATGACCACACGACAGAAACACACGCTCACGTCACATGACCACACGACAGAAACACACGCTCACGTCACATGACCACACGACAGAAACACACGCTCACACGCTCACGTCACATGACCACACGACAGAAACACACGCTCACGTCACATGACCACACGACAGAAACACACGCTCACGTCACATGACCACACGACAGAAACACACGCTCACGTCACATGACCACACGACAGAAACACACGCTCACATCACATGACCACACGACAGAAACACACGCTGACGTCACATGACCACACGACAGAAACACACGGTTACGTCACATGACCACACGACAGAAACACACGCTCACGTCACATGACCACACGACAGAAACACACGCTCACGTCACATGACCACACGACAGAAACACACGCTCACGTCACATGACCACACGACAGAAACACACGCTCACGTCACATGACCACACGACAGAAACACACGCTCACGTCACATGACCACACGACAGAAACACACGCTGACGTCACATGACCACACGACAGAAACACACGCTCACATCACATGACCACACGACAGAAACACACGCTCACACGCTCACGTCACATGACCACACGACAGAAACACACGCTGACGTCACATGACCACACGACAGAAACACACGCTCACGTCACATGACCACACGACAGAAACACACGCTCACGTCACATGACCACACGACAGAAACACACGCTCACATCACATGACCACACGACAGAAACACACGCTGACGTCACATGACCACACGACAGAAACACACGGTTACGTCACATGACCACACGACAGAAACACACGCTCACGTCACATGACCACACGACAGAAACACACGCTCACGTCACATGACCACACGACAGAAACACACGCTCACGTCACATGACCACACGACAGAAACACACGCTCACGTCACATGACCACACGACAGAAACACACGCTCACGTCACATGACCACACGACAGAAACACACGCTGACGTCACATGACCACACGACAGAAACACACGCTCACATCACATGACCACACGACAGAAACACACGCTCACACGCTCACGTCACATGACCACACGACAGAAACACACGCTGACGTCACATGACCACACGACAGAAACACACGCTCACGTCACATGACCACACGACAGAAACACACGCTCACGTCACATGACCACACGACAGAAACACACGGTCACGTCACATGACCACACGACAGAAACACACGCTCACGTCACATGACCACACGACAGAAACACACGCTCACATCACATGACCACACGACAGAAACACACGCTCACGTCACATGACCACACGACAGAAACACACGCTCACGTCACATGACCACACGACAGAAACACACGCTCACGTCACATGACCACACGACAGAAACACACGCTCACGTCACATGACCACACGACAGAAACACACGCTCACGTCACATGACCACACGACAGAAACACACGCTCACGTCACATGACCACACGACAGAAACACACGCTCACGTCACATGACCACACGACAGAAACACACGCTCACGTCACATGACCACACGACAGAAACACACGCTGACGTCACATGACCACACGACAGAAACACACGCTCACGTCACATGACCACACGACAGAAACACACGCTCACGTCACATGACCACACGACAGAAACACACGCTCACGTCACATGACCACACGACAGAAACACACGCTCACGTCACATGACCACACGACAGAAACACACGCTCACGTCACATGACCACACGACAGAAACACACGCTGACGTCACATGACCACACGACAGAAACACACGCTGACGTCACATGACCACACGACAGAAACACACGCTGATGTCACATGACCACAGGACAGAAACACACGCTGACGTCACATGACCACACGACAGAAACACACGCTCACGTCACATGACCACACGACAGAAACACACACTCACATCACATGACCACACGACAGAAACACACACTCACGTCACATGACCACACGACAGAAACACACGCTCACGTCACATGACCACACGACAGAAACACACGCTCACGTCACATGACCACACGACAGAAACACACGCTGATGTCACATGACCACAGGACAGAAACACACGCTCACGTCACATGACCACACGACAGAAACACACGCTCACGTCACATGACCACACGACAGAAACACACGCTCACGTCACATGACCACACGACAGAAACACACGCTGACGTCACATGACCACACGACAGAAACACACGCTCACGTCACATGACCACACGACAGAAACACACGCTCACGTCACATGACCACACGACAGAAACACACGCTCACGTCACATGACCACACGACAGAAACACACGCTCACGTCACATGACCACACGACAGAAACACACGCTCACATCACATGACCACACGACAGAAAACCACGCTCACGTCACATGACCACACGACAGAAACACACGCTGACGTCACATGACCACACGACAGAAACACACGCTGACGTCACATGACCACACGACAGAAACACACGCTGACGTCACATGACCACACGACAGAAACACACGCTGACGTCACATGACCACACGACAGAAACACACGCTGATGTCACATGACCACAGGACAGAAACACACGCTGACGTCACATGACCACACGACAGAAACACACGCTCACGTCACATGACCACACGACTGTCACATGACCACACGACAGAAACACACGCTCACGTCACATGACCACACGACAGAAACACACGCTCACATCACATGACCACACGACAGAAACACACGCTCACGTCACATGACCACACGACAGAAACACACGCTGACGTCACATGACCACACGACAGAAACACACGCTGACGTCACATGACCACAGGACAGAAACACACGCTCACGTCACATGACCACACGACAGAAACACACGCTCACGTCACATGACCACACGACTGTCACATGACCACACGACAGAAACACACGCTCACGTCACATGACCACACGACAGAAACACACGCTCACATCACATGACCACACGACAGAAACACACGCTCACGTCACATGACCACACGACAGAAACACACGCTGACGTCACATGACCACACGACAGAAACACACGCTGATGTCACATGACCACAGGACAGAAACACACGCTGACGTCACATGACCACACGACAGAAACACACGCTCACGTCACATGACCACACGACTGTCACATGACCACACGACAGAAACACACGCTCACGTCACATGACCACACGACAGAAACACACGCTCACATCACATGACCACACGACAGAAACACACGCTCACGTCACATGACCACACGACAGAAACACACGCTGATGTCACATGACCACAGGACAGAAACACACGCTGACGTCACATGACCACACGACAGAAACACACGCTCACGTCACATGACCACACGACTGTCACATGACCACACGACAGAAACACACGCTCACGTCACATGACCACACGACAGAAACACACGCTCACGTCACATGACCACACGACAGAAACACACGCTCACATCACATGACCACACGACAGAAACACACGCTCACATCAGAGGTTAAAATCTGACCTCTGACCTCACTCACCATAGTTTTTAAAGAGTTGGGGGTGTTTCAGCGGCAGCTCGATGGTTTCCCTGATGACCTTCAGCTGACCGCCGAGCCCGCCGATCATACTGTACGTGACCTTTGACCCCTCGTCGTCCTCGACCCGCTCGTTAGGGTCCGACAGGCTCAGAGCGGTGGAGCTGCAGACGGAGTAGAAGGTGTCCGTCGACGAGCGACACACACACACCGGACGGTCAGGCTGAGGGGTCAGAGGTGAAAGGTCATGTGATGCGTTCTGCTGGATGGAGAGCCGCTCGAGCTGTGAAGAGAGATCGAGAACGACTGAGCTCTGAGTCTCTCCGTCGACGCCTCGGATCCAGTCCACCCCGATCACACACCGACGCCCGAAGTAACACACCGACACACTGCCGCCCGCGAGCAGCACGCGCCCGTCTGCAACACACAGCCACACTCAGAACAATCCCAGCATTCAAAGCGGCTCCAGGAGACCAGCGCGCGTCATTACCCAGCATCCGGAGGAGATCGCTCCGGAACTCCTCTGTGTCCAGCACTCGGTCTTCAGGACTGCAACGGTTCACACAAACACAACTTTAAAATCACGTTTTTGAGGAATAATGCTAATCACAAATAATTCTGATAAATATTAATATTATAAAATATTTTGATATAATATGTTATATATTATACTATAAGACATTGTATTTATAAACATTTATATTATATTTGTTACAAATCACAAATGTGTTTTTAAAAAAGTATAAATATTAATATTATAAAATATTCAAAAGTAGAAATATTTATATAATATATTATATTTATAATATAAAGATTATAATCTTTTAATATCTACAAAACATTTTATTTATAAACATTATATTTGTTACAAATCACAAATGTGTTTATAAAAAAAGTATAAAAATCAATGTTATAAAATATTAAACAATACAAATATTTTTATATTTACATTATATTTCTAATATTATAAAATATTAAAAAGTAAAAAAATATATAATATATTAAATTTATAATATAAATAGTATAAAAATTATGAATTTATAAATATTTATTAAACATTTTATTTATACAAATTTGTTATATTTTTTATATTTGTTTCAAATCACATATGTGTTTTAAAAAAAGTATTAATATTAATATTATAAAATATTAAAAAATACATATATTTTTATAATATATTATATTTACATTATATTTCTAATATTATAAAATATTTACAAGTATAAATATTGTTTATAATAATATATTAAATTTATAATATAAATATTATAAAAATTATACATTTATAAATAATTATAAAACATTTTATTTATACAAATTTTGTTATATTTTTATATTTGTTTTAAATCACAAATGTGTATTTAAAAAATTATAAAAATATTATTTTCTATAATATATTATTTTTACATTACATTTATAATATTATAAATATATTTAAAAATTTATATTTTTACAATTTAACATATTATATTTACAATATAACAATTATAAAAAATTATAAACATATTTATAAAACATTTTATTTATAAATATTTCTATTATATTTGTTTAAAATCTATTTATTATATTTGTTTAAAATCTGTCTATAAAAAAATTATAAAAAATATAACTTTGAAAAATTATTTTAATAATACATTTTTTTTAATAAAATATAAAAAAATTACAAATTATAATTTTTTTTTTTACAAAATAACATTATATTTATAATATAACAATTATAAAAAATAATTATTAATAAAACATTTTATCTATATACATTTATATTATATTTGTTTTTATTTATGCATTTTTATAAACTAGAAATAGATATTCAAAACTCTTTTTATGTGAAAGATTACACGTGTTAAACAAGAGACGACTGATAAAACCGCTTACTAACCTTTTCTGTGCAAACTAAGTTAATATAAAATGTAGTAATTCATACGTGCATTACATCAGACACATAACCAGACGTTCACACAGTCGTCCAGACACGGTTATTACGCATCACGCTAGTGCGTATGAATTAGTACATTAGCACAGATAAGGTTATTAGTAAGCAGGATTATCAGAAGCCTCTCCTGTAATGTTTCACATAAGAAGTGTGGATCAGATATTATATATTATTATACTCAGACAAATCCGTCTTTACAGCAGAACAGAGCCGTGACCATTTCAGACAGAAAGCTAATCAGATCTGAAATACAAGATTTTAAGCGTTTGCTCGTTTTCATTTTCCACTATGTAAAGTTTAAATGGTATTGCACTTGCACACCTATGTACATTTTTTGTACATAACATGTTATTTTGCAAGACATCTTTATCTCAGACTGTCCTCTCAGTGAAACTGGAATTCATCACATGATTATTTCAAATCTGATACACACTTTGGATGGCTGTTGTTACAGTTTTATCTATGTTTGTTGTATCTGTCCCTATACAAATAAAACATCAAATAAAAATTAATAAAATATTACAGTTAACTAATAGTAAAGTCGAGCGAGTGTTTGTGCTGTCGACCAGCAGAGGGAGACATTCCCTCACAACTACAGCATCCCTGAGGAAACCCAGATTAATCTTCAGTTATGAGTGTGTGTCTGGTGTGTTTCTGATGTGTCTAGAGGTCAGCCGAGGGTCAGCCGGGGGTCAGCCGTACCTGAGTCTCATCCGCAGGTGTTCGGCCTGTAGAACGGCTCCACTGATTGGCTGCAGGGTCACGTGATCTCCAGGCTTCACTCTCAGACTCGACTGAACGCTGGACTGAAGACCCACACGCCTGCCGGGAAACTGAGACGCCGGCCACGCCACACACACCTGCACACACACACACACACAGCTTCAGCACACACACAGCTATAACACACACACCTGCCGGGAAACTGAGACGCCTGCACAGTGCACACACACACACACACACACACAGCTGTAACACACACACAGCTTCAACACACACTGATTCCCCGTCACAATCACACACACACACACACACACACACACTCAAAGACAAACACACACTTTCACACACTCACACACTCACTCTCTCTCTCTCACACACACACACACTCACCTCCTGTTGTCCCGCGCTGCTGGAGATCAGGACAGACCGTCCGATACAGATGTTCAGTGTCTTCATGGTGTTCACGCTCATCTGAGCCAAATATGATCGCCATCGCTGAGGGGATTTATCATCCGCTGCACAGTCATCACATGCAAATATAGATTTGAAAAACAATCTATTTAAATATAAGACATCAGGTGTCTGTAGGTTCAAACCAATGCATCGTGTTTGTATTAACTGATTGTTGAATAATTTATTCATGCACATTTTCAGCTAATATTTCATTAGTTTTTTATGGTTTATAAAGCAACTTGAGCAAAGGCTAATAAACATATTGTCATTAATAATAATGACTAATAATAATTATGCATATTATATAAGGACAGTAATTGTTATAGTGTAATATTTTAGAAAAGAAAAATATTTTTAAAAATGTTATTAGTCGTAGGCTCGTAGCATTATTATTGTTATGGTTGGTCACGTGATGTCAAACCGTGAGTGGGCGACCCGCTCCATGAAAAATAGTGACTTTTTAAATAAATAAATAGGAGTAAAATCAGAAAACCGATTTGAGTGCAGCTTTAAACACGCGAGTTTATCAAAGAAGACCCGTCCAAAAACAAACATTATAGTTTCAAGCGCTGATTGGGGACGTTTATCATATTTTACTAATTTATCCTAACTAATGAATGTAGTTAATGCGCGCCGCTGATGTCGCGCGCTCCCGTTACCTCTCTCTGTGAAGTCTGTGACCGTTAATCCTCCGTTCGGGACACATGAGTCCGGTTCATCACAGAATGACCCAGATCTGTCTCCTTCTCCTTCGCTCGGTCTCTTTTTCCCTTTGCCTTTCTTGCTTGATGACATGTTTGATCAGTTATTAGATGTGTGTGTACACACACACACACAAACACCGTCCACATGTGAGCATAAACTTCCCGATGTCAAAGTTCAGCTCCTCCCCGTTAACTACCGTAAAACCAGAAATATAAAGGCCGTGAAAATCACGCCATTACACAACATAACCGTTATCGACACAAATACCTTGAGTGTTTGCTTATCTAAAATATAATATTTTGTGTTAAGCAGAAGAAAGAAAATCATACAGGTTTGGAACAACATAAATGGTCATTTTTGATTGAACTGTCGCTTTAAAGCAGCGCGAATACACTATTTATCTTCGTGTGCGCGAGTAGTAGAGTGATTACGGCATTGGTTCCTGAGGTTGTTTTGGTGTCATGGTGTTCTGGATCATGTCAGGCGGGTTCTGCAGGGGTTCTGCTGTGCTCTGCAGGCTCTCCTCGGTGTTCAGGAGTGTTTCTGCTGGCTCGGTTCGGTTCGGCTCGGGCTGTCAGGAGCGGGTCTGCCGGCCTCTGCTGTCCGGGACTGTGGACCGGTTCGGCGGCGTGACGGTCCGAGAGTTTCCGCCGGACATCAGCGAGGACGAGTTCGCGGAGCTACTGAGCGGTACATGAGGGAAACAATCAGCAAATATTAACTTATTAGAATAAAAATCAAGTCATGCATGAATATAGTGTAATATGATATTTAAGATCTAAATGATAAAACATAAGCAAATCTGGATATATGATATTTAAGGTCTAAATGATTAAATGATAAAACATAAGTAAATGATAAAACATACGCTGAGCGGTACATGAGTGGAAATAATCAGCAAATATTAACATCAAAGAATAAAAATCAAGGCATGCATGAATACAGTGTAAAATATATTTAAGATCCAAATGATAAAACATAAGCAAATGATAAAGCATAAGTAAGATATATAATTATTTTCCTGCTTCACCAGCATGTATAATGGCTTTCCAGAAGCACAGCACTATTATTACTTTATTATTTATTTATTAAAAATGTAATTTGACATACAAATTATACTGTCAGTAATTTGAGTGAAAAATGTAGGCTAACTAAAATGTTTATTTTTCAAGATCATTAAACTTTGCTTATTTACAGTATTAAAATGGCTACATCTACATACACACTACCGTTCAAAATGTTGGCTGATCAAAAATACAATAAAAATTGCGAAATATTATTCTAATTTAAATCATCTGTTTTCTATGTGAATATATAGTAAAGTGTAATTTATTCCTGTGATCAAAGCTGTATTTTCAGCATCATTACTCCAGTCTTCAGTGTCACATGATCCTTCAGAAATCACTCTAATATGAGGATCTGATGCTCAAGAAACAGTTATGATTATTATCAGTGTTGGAAACTGTGATGCATTTTATTTTTCAGGATGCTTTTATGAATAGAAAGTTCAAAAGAACAGCATTTATTTGAAATATAATCTTTTGTAACATTATAAATGTCTTTACTGTCACTTTTGATTGATTTAATGCATCCTTGCTGAATATATACATCTATAATTCTGTCAAATCGATTAATCGCATCTAACATAGAAGTTTTTGTTTACATAATGTGTGTGTGTATATAATATATATTATTATATTTATATGTGTGTGTGTCTGTGTATATATATTTGTAAACACACACACACACATATATGTATTAATATGTGTGTGTGTGTGTGTGTCTGTGCCTGTGTGTGTGTGTCTGTGTGTGTGTGTGTGTGTGTGTGTGTGTGTGTGTGTGTGTGTGTGTGTGTGTGTGTGTGTGTGTGTGTGCGTGTGTGTGTGTGTGTGTGTGTGCCTGTGTGTGTGTTTGTGTCTGTGTGTGTCTGTGTGTGTGTGTGTGTGTGTGTGTCTGTGCCTGTGTGTGTGTGTCTGTGTGTGTGTGTGTGTGTGTGCCTGTGTGTGTGTGTGTGTGTGTGTGTGTGTGTGTGTGTGTGTGTGTGTGTGTGTGTGTGTGTGTGTGTGTGTGTGTGTGTGTGTGTGTGTGTGTGTGTGTGTGTGTGTGTGTGTGTGTGTGCCAGTGTCTCTGCATCAGTGGCGTTCGGAGCAGCGGGTGGCTGTGTGGCTCCACGTCCCCCTGGCTCTCAGTAGAGTGTGTTCTGCTGCTGCTCGTCACGGGTTCCTCTTCCATCACGCTCGCGGGGACCGGGCCGTTCTCAGCCTGTGGGTCGGACCCGGAGACGACAGGCTCCCCGCCTATGCCACACATCAGGTCGGAGTCGCAGGTGAGGCATGAGTGTGTGCAGAGACATGAGAACTGCAGAGACATGATGTCCAGCTCCGCCTCTCTAGATGTTATGGGCGGAGCTATAAGATCCAACCACACCCTATATAACTCTATCCCTCCAGCCATTAGATCCACAGAGCTGGAGCTGCACGTCACACTGGCTCTCTCTCATACACACACACACACACTAACCCTACCCCTTAACCTACCCATCACACACACTCACACACTCTTTTACACACACACACACTCACACACACACATTGGCTCTGCAGTGAGCACTTCTAAAGCAGCAGCTCTTTAGGCCCAGCAGGTGGCGCTGCTCTCTCTCGCTCTCTCTCACTCTCTCTCACTCTCGCTCTCTCTCTATCTCTCCTCTCTCTCTCTCTCTCTCTCTCGATCTCTCTATCTCTCTCTCTCTCTCGATCTCTCTCCTCTCTCTCTCTCTCCTCTCTCTCTCTCTCTCCTCTCTCGATCTCTCTATCTCTCGCTCTCTCTCACTCTCTCTCACTCTCGCTCTCTCTCTCTCTCTCCTCTCTCGATCTCTCTATCTCTCGCTCTCTCTCACTCTCTCTCAATCTCTCTCACTCTCGCTCTCTCTCTCACTCTCGCTCTCTCTCTCTATCTCTCCTCTCTCTCTCTCTCGATCTCTCTCCTCTCTCTCTCTCTCTCTCGATCTCTCTCTCTCTCTCTCGCTCTCCCTCTCTCTCTATCTCTCCTCTCTCTCGATCTCTCTATCTCTCTCTCTCTCTCCTCTCTCCCTCTCTCGCTCTCCCTCTCTCGCTCTCTCTCTCTCTCTCTCTCGATCTCTCTATCTCTCGCTCTCTCTCTATCTCTCCTCTCTCTCGATCTCTCTATCTCTCGCTCTCTCTCTATCTATCTCTCCTCTCTATCTCTCTCACTCTCCCTCTCTCTATCTCTCCTCTCTATCTCTCCTCTCGCTCTCTCTCCTCTCTCTCTCTCTCTCTCTCTCTCTCTCTCTCTCTCCTCTCTCTCTCTCTCTCTCTCTCTCTCTCTCTCTCTCTCTCTCTCTCTCTCTCTCTCTCCTCTCTCTGTCTGTCTATCTCTCCTCTCTATCTCTCCTCTCTATCTCACTCAGACTGCTGGACGCAGGCATGTTTGAACATGCCCGGAAAGATGCCCGGAACATCTGGCAGCAGTCGGATTCGTGATGTGTGTGTGTGTATGTGTGTGTGTGCGTGTGTGTGTTTGATTACAGCCGAATGCCATGAAGGTGAAACCCCACGTTTGGAATATTCTAGCAGTGAATAAGTCGAGCTCATTTCCTCTCTGTGTGATTTACAAACCAACAGCCTCTCTTGTGTTTTTGTTCAGACCGTAGCGAATAGCGATATTAATTGTTGAACACATATTTCACAGCACCGGTAACTGCAGAAATATAAATACAGAGCCTTTGGATTTGTTAGTAAAATATTACAGTATAAGTGAAGAAAACATTAACCCTATGAAGCCTGACGTATGAGATAATAGTAAGAAAAATCTTTTTATTGATTTTTTTGGACAAAACTTTATCCAAAACGTTTTTGTTTTTTTAATCTTTACAATAAGTTGCATGTGTTTTTGTTTTGTATCATATTTGATGCATCAGGCTTTTATGACTCTGATATAGTGATAAAACAGCTCAATTTTATTCAGAGGCCCAAACTGAGCAAAAATATCCAATATCCAATTTTGATGCAGATGCTGATATTTATGTGAACAAAAAGTGATGAAATTCTGATGCTTGTAATGTAAATCAATGAGATCTTTATAACACACTCACTCACACACACACACACACACTCACCTCACTTGCTCTTACACACACACACACACACACACACACACTCGCTCTCACTCACACACACACACACACACACACACACTCACTCACACATTCACTCAGATCACACACTCAGTCACACACACACTCACTCACTCTCTCTCACACACACACACTTACTCACTCACACACACATTCACACACACACACATTCACTCACAAATTCACACACACACATTCACTCACACACACAAACACACACACACACACACACACACTCGCACATTCTCACACACACACACACACACTCACTCACACATTCACACACAGACACACACATACTCACAGACACACACTCACTCACTCACACATTCACACACAGACACACACATACTCACACACACACACACACACACACACTCACTCACACATTCACACACATACTCACACACACTCACACTCACTCACACACACACACACACACACACACACGCACTCACTCACACATTCAGACACACACTCACTCACTCACGAGTGTGTAATCATGAATCTCTTGTGTGTTGTTTATAGGTGCTGTTGTGGACGAATCCAACGGGAAAGTGCTTGTTGTTCAGGACAGGAATAAGGTACGTCTCTCACGCGTCCGATTAAAGACTCCGTGCAACTTAAGATCACTTTAGTTTCAGGTGTGTGTGTGTGTGTGTGTGTGTGTGTGTGTGTGTGTGTGTGTGTGTGTGTGTGTGTATAAACAGACCTTCCTGAGACTCAAAAACTGGATGTTCTGAGAACATTCAGAAATGTAAATCATATTCCCTAAACCGTCAGTTTACAATTTAGAATGTTACCATAGGATCCTAAATAACATTTAGTTCAACATGTAGTTCTATTCCAAAACGAGTTCAGCTGCCAATTTTAGAAGAATAATTACCCATTCATTAGTAAATGATGACAGCAAAAAGAGACGTGCAACACGAGCTGAAGGAGATGTTTTTACAGTTAAGGCTCGTTCACTCGAGTGATGATAACCATAACTGTAATAATAAACATTTAGTTCTAAAAATTATTCTAAATATAAAAGAATCACAACTCTAACCTTACAAATGCATTCATCAAATATGATATTAATCCACATTTCATAAATGCTTGAGTCACTTTATCACTTTTTAAACCAGATTCTAATATATATATATACACACAACATGTAGTGTTTCTATTCTAATATCAGAATTTTCCTAAACGATTTCAACTGCTGATTCAGAAGTTTTTAGAAGAAAAAAAAATCCCAGTTCTGTTTTCTAAATGATGATAGTTTATTTTTCAGAATATCTCACTTCAGTCTCAACTCTAATTCTAGAGTTTTAAACCAAGTGTGTGACTGATGATGAACTCTGAGTCTGACCTCGTTACGCGTCTCGCTTCATCCCTCAAGACCGCTTCCCAGTGAAATAAACAGTTGGGTTCGGGAGTGGAAACTGAAAGGATCGTTTTATCCTTCCGCCAGCGTCTTTTATCTTGCGTCATTTACTGGTAGAATTTCCTGAGAGGCTTAAAATACCTCCGGGAGTTTAGAGGTCGGACTGCACTTATTTATCTGGGTAGATTACATCTGGGCAGAGCAACATGTTCATAAAACTCAATCTCATGGAGATATTTCTGTGTGGAAATGATTAAACCCCCGGCTGAGCGTTTAACCCTCCAGCAATGCACAAACAGTGACAGATTAGATGAACTAATGGGCTCCGTCCCAAACCCTAGTGATCTTCCTCACTGCCTACATAGACATCAGCCTAAAACCCTAGTGATCTTCCTCACTGCCGACATAGACATCAGCCTAAAACCCTAGTGATCTTCCTCACTGCCTACATAGACATCAACCTAAAACCCTAGTGATCTTCCTCACTGCCTACATAGACATCATCCTAAAACCCTAGTGATCTTCCTCACTGCCGACATAGACATAAATCTAAAACCCTAGTGATCTTCCTCACTGCCTACATAGACATCAACCTAAAACCCTAGTGATCTTCCTCACTGCCGACATAGACATCAATCTAAAACCCTAGTGATCTTCCTCACTGCCGACAAAGACATTAATCTAAAACCCTAGTGATCTTCCTCACTGCCTACATAGACATCAATCTAAAACCCTAGTGATCTTCCTCACTGCCGACATAGACATCAATCTAAAACCCTAGTGATCTTCCTCACTGCCTACATAGACATCAACCTAAAACCCTAGTGATCTTCCTCACTGCCGACATAGACATTAACCTAAAACCCTAGTGATCTTCCTCACTGCCTACATAGACATCAACCTAAAACCCTAGTGATCTTCCTCACTGCCGACATAGACATCAATCTAAAACCCTAGTGATCTTCCTCACTGCCTACATAGACATCAACCTAAAACCCTAGTGATCTTCCTCACTGCCTACATAGACATCAATCTAAAACCCTAGTGATCTTCCTCACTGCCTACATAGACATCAACCTAAAACCCTAGTGATCTTCCTCACTGCCGACATAGACATCAACCTAAAACCCTAGTGATCTTCCTCACTGCCTACATAGACATCAACCTAAAACCCTAGTGATCTTCCTCACTGCCTACATAGACATCATCCTAAAACCCTAGTGATCTTCCTCACTGCCGACATAGACATAAATCTAAAACCCTAGTGATCTTCCTCACTGCCTACATAGACATCAACCTAAAACCCTAGTGATCTTCCTCACTGCCGACATAGACATCAATCTAAAACCCTAGTGATCTTCCTCACTGCCGACAAAGACATTAATCTAAAACCCTAGTGATCTTCCTCACTGCCTACATAGACATCAATCTAAAACCCTAGTGATCTTCCTCACTGCCGACATAGACATCAATCTAAAACCCTAGTGATCTTCCTCACTGCCTACATAGACATCAACCTAAAACCCTAGTGATCTTCCTCACTGCCGACATAGACATTAACCTAAAACCCTAGTGATCTTCCTCACTGCCTACATAGACATCAACCTAAAACCCTAGTGATCTTCCTCACTGCCGACATAGACATCAATCTAAAACCCTAGTGATCTTCCTCACTGCCTACATAGACATCAACCTAAAACCCTAGTGATCTTCCTCACTGCCTACATAGACATCAATCTAAAACCCTAGTGATCTTCCTCACTGCCTACATAGACATCAACCTAAAACCCTAGTGATCTTCCTCACTGCCGACATAGACATCAACCTAAAACCCTAGTGATCTTCCTCACTGCCTACATAGACATCAATCTAAAACCCTAGTGATCTTCCTCACTGCCTACATAGACATCAACCTAAAACCCTAGTGATCTTCCTCACTGCCGACATAGACATCAACCTAAAACCCTAGTGATCTTCCTCACTGCCGACATAGACATCAACCTAAAACCCTAGTGATCTTCCTCACTGCCTACATAGACATCAATCTAAAACCCTAGTGATCTTCCTCACTGCCTACATAGACATCAATCTAAAACCCTAGTGATCTTCCTCACTGCCTACATAGACATCAACCTAAAACCCTAGTGATCTTCCTCACTGCCGACATAGACATCAACCTAAAACCCTAGTGATCTTCCTCACTGCCGACAAAGACATCAATCTAAAACCCTAGTGATCTTCCTCACTGCCGACATAGACATCAACCTAAAACCCTAGTGATCTTCCTCACTGCCGACATAGACATCAACCTAAAACCCTAGTGATCTTCCTCACTGCCGACAAAGACATCAATCTAAAACCCTAGTGATCTTCCTCACTGCCGACATAGACATCAATCTAAAATCCTAGTGATCTTCCTCACTGCCGACATAGACATCAATCTAAAACCCTAGTGATCTTCCTCACTGCCTACATAGACATCAATCTAAAACCCTAGTGATCTTCCTCACTGCCTACATAGACATCAACCTAAAACCCTAGTGATCTTCCTCACTGCCGACATAGACATCAACCTAAAACCCTAGTGATCTTCCTCACTGCCGATATAGACATCAATCTAAAACCCTAATGATCTTCCTCACTGCCGACATAGACATCAACCTAAAACCCTAGTGATCTTCCTCACTGCCGACATAGACATCAATCTAAAACCCTAATGATCTTCCTCACTGCCGACATAGACATCAATATAAAACCCTAGTGATCTTCCTCACTGCCGACATAGACATCAACCTAAAACCCTAGTGATCTTCCTCACTGCCGACATAGACATCAATCTAAAACCCTAGTGATCTTCCTCACTGCCGACATAGACATCAATCTAAAACCCTAGTGATCTTCCTCACTGCCTACATAGACATCAACCTAAAACCCTAGTGATCTTCCTCACTGCCGACATAGACATCAACCTAAAACCCTAGTGATCTTCCTCACTGCCGACATAGACATCAATCTAAAACCCTAGTGATCTTCCTCACTGCCGACATAGACATCAATCTAAAACCCTAATGATCTTCCTCACTGCCGACATAGACATCAACCTAAAACCCTAGTGATCTTCCTCACTGCCGACATAGACATCAATCTAAAACCCTAGTGATCTTCCTCACTGCCGACATAGACATCAATCTAAAACCCTAGTGATCTTCCTCATTGCCTACATAGACATCAATCTAAAACCCTAGTGATCTTCCTCACTGCCAACATAGACATCAATCTAAAACCCTAGTGATCTTCCTCACTGCCGACATAGACATCAATCTAAAACCCTAGTGATCTTCCTCACTGCCGACATAGACATCAATCTAAAACCCTAGTGATCTTCCTCATTGCCTACATAGACATCAATCTAAAACCCTAGTGATTTTCCTCACTGCCGACATAGACATCAACCTAAAACCCTAGTGATCTTCCTCACTGCCGACATAGACATCAATCTAAAACCCTAGTGATCTTCCTCACTGCCGACATAGACATCAATCTAAAACCCTAGTGATCTTCCTCATTGCCTACATAGACATCAATCTAAAACCCTAGTGATCTTCCTCACTGCCAACATAGACATCAATCTAAAACCCTAGTGATCTTCCTCACTGCCGACATAGACATCAATCTAAAACCCTAGTGATCTTCCTCATTGCCTACATAGACATCAATCTAAAACCCTAGTGATCTTCCTCACTGCCAACATAGACATCAATCTAAAACCCTAGTGATCTTCCTCACTGCCGACATAGACATCAATCTAAAACCCTAGTGATCTTCCTCACTGCCGACATAGACATCAATCTAAAACCCTAGTGATCTTCCTCATTGCCTACATAGACATCAATATAAAACCCTAGTGATCTTCCTCACTGCCGACATAGACATCAATCTAAAACCCTAGTGATTTTCCTCACTGCCGACATAGACATCAACCTAAAACCCTAGTGATCTTCCTCACTGCCGACATAGACATCAATCTAAAACCCTAGTGATCTTCCTCACTGCCGACATAGACATCAATCTAAAACCCTAGTGATCTTCCTCATTGCCTACATAGACATCAATCTAAAACCCTAGTGATCTTCCTCACTGCCAACATAGACATCAATCTAAAACCCTAGTGATCTTCCTCACTGCCGACATAGACATCAATCTAAAACCCTAGTGATCTTCCTCACTGCCGACATAGACATCAATCTAAAACCCTAGTGATCTTCCTCATTGCCTACATAGACATCAATATAAAACCCTAGTGATCTTCCTCACTGCCGACATAGACATCAATCTAAAACCCTAGTGATTTTCCTCACTGCCGACATAGACATCAACCTAAAACCCTAGTGATCTTCCTCACTGCCGACATAGACATCAATCTAAAACCCTAGTGATCTTCCTCACTGCCGACATAGACATCAACCTAAAACCCTAGTGATCTTCCTCACTGCCGACAAAGACATCAATCTAAAATCCTAGTGATCTTCCTCACTGCCGACATAGACATCAATCTAAAACCCTAGTGATCTTCCTCACTGCCGACATAGACATCAACCTAAAACCCTAGTGATCTTCCTCACTGGCGACAAAGACATCAATCTAAAACCCAAGTGATCTTCCTCACTGCCGACATAGACATCAATCTAAAACCCTAGTGATCTTCCTCATTGCCTACATAGACATCAATCTAAAACCCTAGTGATCTTCCTCACTGCCGACATAGACATCAACCTAAAACCCTAGTGATCTTCCTCACTGCCGACATAGACATCAACCTAAAACCCTAGTGATCTTCCTCACTGCCGACAAAGACATCAATCTAAAACCCTAGTGATCTTCCTCACTGCCGACATAGACATCAATCTAAAACCCTAGTGATCTTCCTCACTGCCGACATAGACATCAACCTAAAACCCTAGTGATCTTCCTCACTGCCTACATAGACATCAACCTAAAACCCTAGTGATCTTCCTCACTGCCGACAAAGACATCAACCTAAAACCCTAGTGATCTTTCTCACTGCCGACATAGACATCAACCTAAAACCCTAGTGATCTTCCTCACTGCCTACATAGACATCAATCTAAAACCCAAGTGATCTTTCTCACTGCCGACATAGACATCAATCTAAAACCCTAGTGATCTTTCTCACTGCCGACATAGACATCAATCTAAAACCCTAGTGATCTTTCTCACTGCCGACATAGACATCAACCTAAAACCCTAGTGATCTTTCTCACTGCCGACATAGACATCAATCTAAAACCCTAGTGATCTTCCTCACTGCCGACAAAGACATCAATCTAAAACCCTAGTGATCTTTCTCACTGCCTACATAGACATCAATCTAAAACCCTAGTGATCTTCCTCATTGCCTACATAGACATCAACCTAAAACCCTAGTGATCTTCCTCACTGCCGACAAAGACATCAACCTAAAACCCTAGTGATCTTTCTCACTGCCGACATAGACATCAACCTAAAACCCTAGTGATCTTCCTCACTGCCTACATAGACATCAATCTAAAACCCAAGTGATCTTTCTCACTGCCGACATAGACATCAATCTAAAACCCTAGTGATCTTTCTCACTGCCGACATAGACATCAATCTAAAACCCTAGTGATCTTTCTCACTGCCGACATAGACATCAACCTAAAACCCTAGTGATCTTTCTCACTGCCGACATAGACATCAATCTAAAACCCTAGTGATCTTCCTCACTGCCGACAAAGACATCAATCTAAAACCCTAGTGATCTTTCTCACTGCCTACATAGACATCAATCTAAAACCCTAGTGATCTTCCTCATTGCCTACATAGACATCAACCTAAAACCCTAGTGATCTTCCTCACTGCCGACATAGACATCAATCTAAAACCCTAGTGATCTTTCTCACTGCCTACATAGACATCAACCTAAAACCCTAGTGATCTTCCTCACTGTCGACATAGACATCTACTTCTTCAACAGTGTAATTGCATTACTGTACGAATGACTCTATCTTAAAAGTATTGCATTACTAATTACTAATAACTCTCTAAATCCCATTTCAACCTTGACCAACTGAACAACACAAGGATAGACACGAAACTTCATTTTTTCATTTAAATAATAAAAATTTGCATACATTTTTCTTGGATTGACCAAACAATTTAAAAGGAGAAGGTTACATTAAAACATACATTGTAACATTATACGCCAAATTTTGATGTTAAATCCACTGTTGTTCTATACGGTATTTAATGAAATTACATCCAAGACTGATCCATTACCTTTACAAGGGAAAAGTAATTAAATTACAGTAATTAATTACTAAGTAGTGCATTACACCCAACACTGTTTTGTTTTTATATACTTTTTGCATCTTTAATGTTATGGTTATCAATCACTTCAACACTTCCTATTTTTATATTTACTGCTATTTTTTTAATATATGTTCTTCTATTATAAACTGTTTAGAAAACACTAAATTATTTAAATGTATAACATGTTTTCATTATTCAGCATGCTGAAATTGTCTTGCATTCACAATGTAGCTAAAAGTAATTCCACAAATATTTCAAACTTAATTGCCCACAAAAATATGAATTTTATTGAAAGTACAGAAATATTCTCATGTCACAAACCTTTAACAGCTGTTGCATTACATCACACACAACTCGTCTGTTTTCGGCTTTGTACTAATGTACTCAAAACTACTCAAGTAAGAAAGTTTTATTTATAACTAGCAGCATTTTCTAGATTATTTTAAAACTCGATATGTAATGGACCTCAGTAGTCCACAATCTCAAATCTAAAACTTATAAGACATATTTTTTATGAAAATATTTGATATTGTATTGATAGATATAAATAATATTAAGATAATCTGTGAACGAGGAATGAAAATGATAAAAATAGCAATATTTTCTTCCTCAGTATTTTTGTCTTATTTTTCCCAGTACAAATATCTTAAGTCTTATTTTCTGAATAAAATATCAAAATGAAGCGAGTTTGATCTTAAAACAAGAACATATATCTGCCAATGGAGTTAGAAAAATAATCTTAATTCAAAATAGAAAACAAGATTATTTTTCTGACTCCATTGGATATTTGTTCTTGTTTTAAGCACAAACTCGCTTCACTTTTGTAAATTTTTCAAAACACAAAACTTAATCTCTTATGTAATTTTGCTACTTTGCATTCGGGTACATAATTTCTATTTAAAAATCCATAGTTTTAAGTAAGAAGATGGAATTTTGTAAGTGTGTTAAGACATAAGTATCCAAAATACACATAATTTATTTATTTTTTAGAAATTTTAAACCAAAAATGTAAGCGATATATCCATTTAAACTCAACTGTTACACCTTTTGCGCTCAGGTTCGTTTTGAGCCGAAAGTGAACTGGGGCTTTACACGTGAAATTATGCAGGGGGTTTTAAAAATAATATGTATGTTTTGTAAATTTAGACTGTTTTGAGCAAGTTTCAAATGAGTCAAAAGTCAATGGAGTTCATTCTGGAAATTCTCATATTATGTGTTCTTATACATTTCAGAATAAAGTATTCAAATAAGATTTATCATAAATATAGATAAAAATATATTTTTTCTTGCATCTGTTTTTTGCTGTAGTTCTTAAAAAAGTTTGAATTCCAAAGAATTTCCATTTTTTTAGTAATAAAAAGGGGGGTAAATAAAGTAATAGCACGGTAAAAAACAAAACATGGTAATATTCAATATTCAGTTTGTGCATTCACTCATTAATGAGGAATTATTGATTTGATACAATATGGTTTTAGTTGAAAAATATTAAATTGTGATTTTTTTATAAGCTTCCAATGAGTCCAAACTCTATACAGTTTTTAAGGCATTATGAGGGTTAATAATGTTTAGATATTTGTACTGGAAAACAAGTCAAATACACAGGAAGAACATCTTTTTACAGTGAGAAATATAAAACGACTAATTTCCATAAAAATATAATTCTAACTAAAACAACATGCACGTGTTAAACATAACTTTCCTGTCCTTTCCAGACTATGAATGCTTGGAAGTTTCCCGGTGGTTTATCAGATCTTGGAGAAAACATCGGTAAGATTCAGATCCAGAACTCATCGAATTGAAACAAAATCATAATTTCAGATATTCCAATCATACATCCAAAAGTGCATTTATAAGATCATCTTCTAAGATTTGAGACCCTCAAGACATTCAGTTACAAAAAACCCTTCTTTACTACACAAATGACTTGTATATAAACTGCTTATTGATTACATTTTTACATAAATCACAATGCTATCTCTGAAAAATAAATGTTTTGTATAAACAAAGTAACATTGTGTTCACATGCTGAACAAGACAAATCATTTCATTCAGAACTTTTTCATCCTACTGTATGTTTCTCCAAATCTCATGATATAAGATACAGTAAACAAAGTTATTACAGTGTTAATAACTGTAATATTTAAAGTGTAATGTGAATTTATTCCAAGAAAGTTTCTAAAACGGTATTTATCTGCAGCTCAGATTCTACTTATATTACTCGTACATCTACACTGTAAAAACATTTGTGAATAAACAATATTATTGGAGTATATTTTACAAAAAAATACTATTTAGTCTTTATACTTCAAAATTAGATGTGTTGCTTGCAGATTCTTTGTGATTATTTAAATTTACTAGCGATTTCTGAGTGAAAATTGTTTCTACACCAAATTATTTTCAGTGTAAAAAAACAAGAAGAAACTGCTTAATCTTTACACTGCAAATTTTTTTTATTACTTAGCATTTTTGTCTTGTTTTCCATATCGAAACATTCTTAAATCAAGATGCATTTACTGGAGAAGCAAAATGACTGAAGATATTAAGTCTTGTTTAATGAAAAAATCATTAAAATAAAGCGAGTTTGTGCTTAAAACAGGAAGAAAATTCTGCCAATGGAGTCAGAAATAATCTTAATTCAAAGGGAAAATTAGATGATTTTTCTGACTCCATTGGCAGATATTTAAAGCAAAAACTTGCTTAATTTTGATACATTATTAATTTATTATTACCTTTATTTGTTATCATTTTGATGTTATGGCTTACAGCTTATGAAAACCCCAAATTCAAAATTAGAATATTGTGAAAAGGTTTGTTGTTTGATCCATAATCATCAAAATTATAACAAATAAAGGCTAGAAATATCTCACTTTGCATGTAATGAGTCTATATAATATATTAGTTTCACCTTTTAAAGGATTAGTTCACTTTAAAAAAAACTTTTGCTGATAATTTACTCACCCCCATGTCATCCAAGATGTCCATGTCTTTCTTTCTTCAGTCGAAAAGAAATTAATGTTTTTGATGAAAACATTCCAGGATTTTTCTCCATATAATGCACTTTGCTGGGCACCAAATGGTTCAAGGTCTAAATGACCGTTTCAGTGCAGCTTCAAAGGGCTTTAAACGATACCAGACGATGAATAAGGGTCTTATCTAGAGAAACGATCGGTCATTTCAAAAATAAATAAAAAAGTTAAAGTTTTATAGGCACAAATGCTCGCCTTGCGAACTCTCCTGTTCGAACTCGTTCATCAAAATGAACGAATCTTTTTTCGAGTCAATGACTCGAAAAAAGATTTGTTCATTTTGATGAACGAGTCAATGACTCGAAAAAAGATTCGTTCATTTTGATGAACGAGTCAATGACTCGAAAAAAGATTCGTTCATTTTGATGAACGAGTCAATGACTCGAAAAAAGATTCGTTCATTTTGATGAACGAGTTCGAACAGGAGAGTTCGCAAGGCGAGCATTTGTGCCTATAACACTTTAACTTTTTTATTTTTTTTTGAATTGACAGATGGTTTCTCTAGATAAGACCCTTATTCATCGTCTGGTATCGTTTAAAGCCCTTTGAAGCTGAACTGAAACGGTCATTTAGACCTTGAACCGTTTGGTGCCCAGCAAAGTGCATTATATGGAGAAAAATCCTGGAATGTTTTCATCAAAAACATTAATTTCTTTTCGACTGAAGAAAGAAAGACATGGACATCTTGGATGACATGGGGGTGAGTAAATTATCAGCAAAAGTTTTTTTTAAAGTGAACTACTCCTTTAAGTTGAATCACAGAAATAAATGAACTTTTGCACGATATTCTAATTTTTCGAGTTTCACCTGTAATCTTATTTCAAAGGGAAAATTAGATCAAATTGACTCCATTGGCAGATATTTAAAGCAAAAACTCGCTTAATTTTGCTACATTTTTAATAAAACAAGACTTAATATCTTCAGTGATTTTACGTCTCTAGTAAATGTATCTTGATTTACGAATGTTTAATATTTGTGCTGGAAAACGAGAGTATTTTCTCAGTTCTGACGGGACGCTTTGTTCCAGGAGAGACGGCCGTTCGAGAGGTTTTCGAAGAGACCGGGATCCGATCTGAATTCCGATCTCTCCTCAGTATTCGCCAGCAGCACAATCACCCGGGAGCGTTCGGGATGTCCGACATGTACCTGATCTGCAGACTCAGCCCGCTCTCGTACGACATCGACTTCTGCACGCAGGAGTGTGTGCGCTGCGAGTGGCTGGACCTGCGCGAGCTCGCCGACACCAGCGAGACCACGCCGATCACCAGTCGCGTCGCCAAACTCCTGCTGTACGGACTGGGAACGGGCTTCCACAACATTGACCTCGCGATGGAGACGCTGCCGGCTGTTTACTCCGGCATGTTTTATCAGCTTTATCACAGAGACACCACACACTCTTCACAATAAAGATCCCAATTAGAACCGGGAACGCCTATATAGAACAATTTGAACACTTTATGCCAAAGGAGAAATGTGTTAAAGTCCCCCTGTGGTGGAAATCCAGCTTTTAATGTTGTTTATGTGTCTATGTGGTGTTTTTAATACGCTTAAACCATGTGTAAGTTCATAAGTCGACAGCATTGCTGTGTATTTTCTGCTTAAAACTGCAGTGAACCAAAGACAGTCTCAAAAACACGGTTTGAAATCGCTGGTGTTTCTGACGTCACAAACGACCTTGTAACCAATCAGATCAACGTGTGATCGTCAACCAGTGGATCTCTGAGCTGAGTGAGTGAGTGGAGGCGGGGCTCATTTGCATATTCATAGAACCACGCATACTAAATGAGGCAAGGGTGTTGAGTTACATTCAAGCTAAACAAAAAAAAAAAGTTTAAATATGTAATTTTGGTGATCAAAGAAGAGTTTTAAGTGATAAAATAATTGACTACAGGGGGACTGTAACTGATTGCATGATACTTTCATTTATTTCTAGTAATAAAGTGTCTTTAAGTCACACTGTTGTAGAAATGAATTAAAACTAAATCCATAAAATGATCCCTAATGGAAACGGTTCTACACATGAAGTGCCTGACGGAGCCTTTTAAGCTCGATATAGCTCTGAGTGATATTTTGCACAAGAGTGTGAATCCTATAAAGACTTTATCTTCAAAATACACACTGTAAGCCGGGTTCACACTGTACGATTACACACAAGCGTTAAACAGCAGATCTGTGTTCTGATCCAGAGATTATTTCTGTCTAGAAGTACTGGATAAAAGGTTATAGCTGGGTTATAAACACTGTGTATGTCACTGAATCATTCATTCAAGAGATTCATTCAAAAAAACGCTGATTCATCCAGTAATGAAAGTGATGAGTGAGTCGTTGAATCATTCACTCAACCCGATTCAAATTCATTACAAAGTTTAAATCGACTGCAACAATTAACACTTTGTCAGAACCTCTAGTAAATTACATGTTTAAAAAAACGAAGACGATGTGTGTGAAGCAAGTGGTGGTTTGTTGTCAGGTTCGGCGCTCCTTCTGGTTTTTGATTCGACGGTTGTCTTAGAATTTTTTTTAGGATTCTCAAAATTAGTCTCATTCGGTCAAATCGTACAGTGTAAACCTGGCTTTATGAAAAAATAGTTTTGAAGAGTGTACTGTGACGGTTCAATGAGTGTTTGTGCAGTGAGTGCTCGTGTGTTTTGTCCCTGAGTTATAGGCTGATTGCCGGGAGGCGTGGCTTTACACCTGAACCAGATTATGGTGTTTTAAAAGACACTGGGTCAAACAGAGACGGGAGTTCGATGGCTCGCGGGTGATGTTGCAGCTCTGGGAACTTCCAGAGAGCTCACAGGACATATGGGTCACGGGAGAGCACAATCGCTTCGGAGAGCTGATGTGATGTACTTCCCCTGCTGACGATCTTCTGATTGGACTTTTTGATTATGTTTTGGTTATGTTTGGTTGAACTGACATCACTTGAGCTTGCCACGTACAAATACATGCTGACACACTAACTAACATTTATACTGATCCCTTGACACCACATGTTAATTACTTTATGTAAATAAATCTTATGGTTTACGCAGCGATTGTGTGGCGTTTGCGATCTTTTGTTGCGATCTTTAAGAAGAATCGTAACAAATGGGGGCTCGTCCAAAAGAGTAATTTGATAACAAATGAGAGTTCGTTCGATTAGATATTGTTTAGCTCATTTGGTTGATTAGGTGCTCGGTTGAATGATAATTTGGAAAAGTTAATCCTTGATTATTCGTATTATTTTTTGAGATAGATGTATATTTGTTTTGTAAGTTAAAGGTAGTTGTCATTTGAAGGTAAGTGCATTTTTATTGGGGTACAGATGAAACCTCATTCATTTTTCCCCTAGTAGGTATTAGCAACGCTTTGCGTTGATTTGTTATTTTGCCTTTTTTATTTTTGTGCAGGCTTTTGGGTGAAGCACACCGCCGTGGCTACGGGTTGGGCTGTACTGCTCAGTTCGGAACCATCGGTATCTGGTGTTTAATGTCGCTTTGCTCTTGAAAGCTGCATGAAGATTAGGCATAAATGCAGTTTAGTGGGTTGATAGGCAGGGTAGTAGGGGAGACGGTGAATGAGTGTTGTATTTGTGCCTTATTGGAATTGTAGATGCACTTACTTTAAGTTGAGAGTGTAGGTTAAATCTACGAGTTTAAGAGTTAAAATGACATCCGTTGAAGAATTTGTTAAAGCTCCGTCAGAGGACGTGTTAAATTCGTTCGTGAAGCAACAATTGTGGGAACTTGTAGAGCATTTTAAAATTGGTGATGTGGATAAAAAGATAAAGAAGAACGAACTTCGTTCTATTGTGAGAGATTGTTTAATCAAAAATAATCTTCTGATTATTCCCGCAAAGAAAAAACATGATATTGAAAAGAAAACTCCGTTAGATATATTTTCAGGGTTGTCTTTCGAACAGAAGAAAGAGATTTTGCAAATGCAACAGACTCACGATAGAGATTTGGCCTTGGAAACTAAACGGTATGAGTTGGAGATGGAAAAATTAAGAACAGATAATTTACTCAAACAACGTGAAATTGAATTGGCACAGAAGAGAATAGAGCTTGAACAATCAGAACGGGAGTTTGAGCTGCAGGCGGAACGTTTGCAATTAATAAAGGATGGTCTATTACCATCAGAGGGTGGTGAAAGGTTACATTTGTCTGGCAGTTTTGACTTTGCTGGTAATTTAAGACTGCTCCCTAAATTTAACGAACGTGACCCTGATGTTTTTTTCTCTTTATTTGAGACTGTAGCGGAAGAAGGCAAATGGCCAAGTGCAGTCCGAGTTATTATGCTTCAAACTGTCATTACAGGCAAAGCACAAGAGGCATACGCAGCGCTTACGATGGAGGACAGAAGGAACTATGATAAGGTAAAAGTGACTATTCTAAAAGCGTACACTGTAAAAACTAATCTATAGAATTTACCCAATAAATGTGAGGTAACAATTTGCATCGACTTTGGTGGGGTAGATTTAATCCCATATATTGAGTATAAACTATCTGAAGTAAAAAGCTATTAAATACTTGCATAAATTGGGTAACAATACCTCACATTTATGTATATATTCAACAGCTACTTACTCATTAAAATTAGGTAAAAATTATCTCTTCAAATCAAAGTTAATTAATATCAGTTAATAACAATTACTTATTCAGAGAAGGTAAAATGTACCCCCCACAATAAAGACATTCAGATGGTTCATCAGATCAATGTTTTTAATCCAAAAAAATCCTATGAATGACTCAAAATATAGTGCAGCACAACAGCTTTACACAACATTTCAAGTAATGAACATGTTTTATAACTCACTGATCTATCAAATGTTGTTTCAATAATGTTGGAAATAAAACATATCCCTGTTTTAGGACATCCGGATCAGAGCAGAAAAGAGAAATGAGGAAAGAAGGGAGCAGAGAAGAGAAAATGAAAGGAGAAGTGAGGAGATCAGAGCAGTAATGGATGTCCAATCACATTTTCTTGTATCTAAACTCTTAGACTAAACTCTTTGGCCCGGTTTCACAGACAGGGCTTAGATTAAGCCAGGACTAGGCCTTAGTTAAATTTGGACATTTAAGTAGCTTTTATAAACGTGCCTTAGACAAAACATTACTGGTGTGCATCTTGAGACAAAACATTAGCAGACATATTTTAAGATATTTCAGTGCAAGTTGCTTTCAGTTAAAACAGCTCAAACATGCATTTTAGTCTAGGACTATCTTAAGCCTTGTCTGTGAAACAGAGGGGTTTGTGTCTCTTCAGATTTAAACAACAGTGACTGACCAAATCTGTGGTCCAGGTACATTCATATAACAAATAACCGAACAGCCTTGTTTATATGCAGCAATGATGCACCAAATTATAAAAAAACACAGAATTAAGTGCTAAATAAAGTACAAGGGAAAAGAAGAAAAATATAAAACTACACTCCATTACAACTCCATTAAAAGTATGTCCAGACAAAAGATCCTCTTCGAACAAGAGGGGAAATGTGTGTCTACTGCATGAGCTTATTTTTGAGGCTGTGGACCTTTTTCAGTAGTTTTGCCCCGTCAATTTCCCAAAAAAGTTTTTGAAAAGCTTCAAACGTGTTCTTCAGCTCCTTTGGATATTCGATGTCGATTGCATAAATGAGTCCCATCAGCAGTATGCATGCCTTTGTTCGGCTTCCACATCCTTCCATCACTTGGTTTCCCTCGATCACAATAGACAAATCTGATGGATCCTCCTCAGCCATGACATTGCTTCACAATCACCTTCATCGTTTTGTCTGTGTAGTCCTCCTCACATTCCTACATGTTAAAAAGAAACAAACAAAAAGCATACACATTTTTATTTTATTTAAGATGCTGTTTCAATATATTTCAGTTTATCTAAAAGGAGAGCAGAGGGGGAGTGGAAGGCAAAAGGAGAAGGTGGATACGAGAGGAGAGGAGAGGAGGATCCCTCGAATTAATCAAAAATCTGTTATCAATATGACATACCTGGCAGTCATGGAAAAGATCTTCTAGTCTTTCACCGAGGTAGTTAATGAGGCAGCAGACAACAGCATCTGTTTTTTTCTCAATGTTCTGTGTCTGTAGGGAGATACAATTTAGTGATAAGACTGTTAGCGGAGTGGGGAGTGATTTACATATACTAAGACCGAATTCCGGCCCTGCAACAGACTGGCGACCTGTCTAGAGTGAACCCTGCCCCTTCGCCTGATAAATGTTGGCGTTGGCTCAAAAATCACTATCATAAAGATTATATCGATTAGCATTACATTATAAATATAATCTATTATGAAGATATCTGCATGGCTTAAAGAACACAAATACATCATAAATCGTTGCAATCATGTTTATTGCGTCCAAAACATCCTTATCTGCATGTATTCAGCGATCTTTGGAAACGTTGTTGTGGTCAGGTGGTTTCAGGTGTCACATGTCATGTGGCTCT